AAAAATAGAGATTTTGATCTCTTATTTTGGATCTGACATTGGGTCCAAATAATCTCACAGTCCGTATTCAAATCATCGCGATGAGTAACGATAATGTCTTTCTTCACTGCTTGGAAAACGCCACCATGGTTGTCAGATATGCGGTCTTTCCGATAGATGTTATAGTTATCTGGGAAGATTTCGCTGCTCTCAATATCTGGGTATAACCAGGACTCATTACCGAGAATTATATCTGGTTTATATTGATCGACGATTGCAGCAATATCAGCGACTTTGTTCTTGATGCTTTGACAATTTACGGCAAGGCAAGACAATTTGCATTTTGTAACTTTCGACCGGCGTTTTTGTTTGTTATTGTAATTCACATGGACATTATGCGAAGGCGTACTATCTGCGATGGAAGCTTCCTGTAGTGGCTCAAAAGAGTTTGATGAAACCAGGGAATCAATAGAGTCGTTAAAAAATGAGTCCGAAAAATTAGGAAACCCGCATTGTGAACATATCCATGTGAGGGACGTATTGGCAAGAATTTCATACATTGGCAAGTCGTCACTACTGCATTTGGTATGGTACCAAACATCACACATGTCGCATTGGAGTTTGACTAATAGTCGCGGGTCGCGGGTCGCGGGTCCAATGTCGCGGTCGCGGTTCCAATGTCGCGGTCGCGGGTCCAAGGTCGCGGTCGCGGGTCCAAGGTCGCGGTCGCGGGTCCAATGTCGCGGTCGCGGGTCCAAAGTCGCGGTCGCGGGTCCAATGTCGCGGCAGGGGAAAATGATTTGAAAACGACTGATATGAAAACAATATGAAGGGAAAAAATCTTTTTTTGTGCACGATACTCTACGGTAGCCAATTTACAGGTTACGGATGTTAGAGTCAACAATATAATGTCTCAAGAAAAGACCTAAAAGAAAAAGCTGGCCGACTTTTGTGTTCACCACAAGTTTATTTTGTTTTCTTTCTGTCGGGCCCAGTTAAGTGTAAATTCAGCTTTGAATATACTTATGTATAACAGTATCTGATAAAAAATGTTACCATGAGTAACCATTGTTTTCTTCTTGTCTATGAATTGCTCACAAATGCTTAGGGGTGCATTCACTGAAAAATGTGCGATACACTTCATAGACTATAAAGGTTACAACAACTTAAAACCTTTTTTAAAAAAGGCTAACTCGGGCTCGAAAAGCTACGAGTCTGTCGGTAGAAGAAACGAGAACTGTTTTAATTTTAACAAATGTTTTCGGCAAAAATAAAGAAAACGCTTGTTGAAAAACTTCCTGGTCGCTGTTACTAAAAATTGTATTGCGTGACTAGTGTGACTTTCTAGAAGCTTCGCGAGAGTTCATAATTTGTTTATTTTAGGATCTTGTGTAAGCGTTTCTAAAAGCGGTATATTTTGTAATCTTTCTATAATTAGACTATTTGGAAAGTTCTGGAATCTTATTGTAAACGTATATAAGGTAGGCGAGCCCGAGTTAAGTTTTAACTAGTTTTTACAAGCGAAGAGAGTTTGACTTTGGTCGTGTTTAGTCAAGTGTGACGAAGGCAGTTTTTATCCAAGTTGGCGGAGGCCGCGTAAGTTTAACGAGTTACGTGCTGTTGTGGAGTTTTACTCAGTGGAAACTACGTTCATCTTTGGAATAAATCTTCTTGTTGCTGTTCCGACAACCCTGCGTTCAGTTTAGTTTGCAAGCTACCCGTCCTCTAAAAGATTACCCGCGTAAAAGTCGCAAACTCCCAATATAAACTCCTTGCAAAAGTAACTGGAAAGAGGAGGAGAGACGTTGGGCTTGAAGTGCCAGTAAAGTACATTCAAGCGGGTATTCAAGGCATGACTTTAATAAAAAACAAGTAATAATCCACAGCAAGAGGGGATAAAGCTCCAGCTTTATCCTCTCTTGTCCACAGAAAGGAGTTTGTTCCCAATAACGATTGAAATCCGGAATCCAAGTTCTACTAAGAGAGAATAGATCATAGTCTCTTGGTTCTACTGACAAAGACTTGAATCCAGTACCTGGAATCTGGAATTACTTACCTAATTTATTGTCTTTTCTTAACTCTGGTGGAGTTGATAACTTACCGTTTTCAGTGTCTGGTTTACTTTCTTTTTCAGCTTCATGATATCGGGCGTTATTATTTCCTTACCTTCTTACTCACTTAGTTATTTACGATGCATGTTTTCAAGATTTGACTGAGACGCACATTGAATGGCTTCCTATTGTCAGGTTGTCCTGGTTGCCATTTAGGTGAAGAGAACAAGAAGTTATATTGAACTCTCTGGGTTGCCGTCTCAGTTGTAAAAATAAAAGCATTAAGCGAAAATCTTGCTTCGAGGAACAGCCTCCTTTCTGTGGATTATTAGTTGTTTCCATATTAAATTCATGCCTTGAATACCGCTTGAATGAAGTTTCATGCGCCCATTTACATTTTCTTTCAGTTTTGCCGAAAACATTTGTTAAATATAAGAGTTCTCGTTTCTTCTACCGACAGACTCGTAGCTTTTTGAGCCCGAGTTCGCTTTTTTTTAAAAAAAGGCTTTAAGTTGTTGTAACGTTTATAATCTGTAGTCTATGAAGTGTATCGCATATTTTTCAGTAATTGAACCCTTAAGCGTTTGTGAGCAATTCATCGACAACAAGAAAGCAATGGTAACTTATGGTAACTTTTTTTTATCAGATACTGTTATGCATAAGTATATTCAAAGCTGAATTTACACATAACTGGGCCCGACAGAAAGAAAAAAAAAATAAACTTGCGCTGAACACAAAAGTCGGCCAGCTTTTTCTTTTAGGTCTTTTCTTGAGACATTATTTTGTTGACTCTAACATCCGTAACCTGTAAATTGGCTACCGTAGAGTATTGTGCATAAAAAAGATTTTTTTCCCTTTATATTGTGTTCATATCAGTCGTTTTCACTCAGCTGTTTCTTCGAACCCCAAATCATTTTCCCCTGCCGCGACATTGGACCCGCGACCGCGACTTTGGACCCGCGACCGCGACCTTAGACCCGCGACCGCGACATTGGACCCGCGACCGCGACTTTGGACCCGCGACCCGCGACCCGCGACTATTAGTCAAACTCCCTGTATTGGGGTCCCGGGTTCAGCTCGATGTTTCCACTCAGGAACAGCAGTGAAAGCAGTAATCGCCTAGATGGGTTTTTTGCAGCCGGTTGAAAGATGGTTGAACGAGCGAGTTCACGTCGGCGACGATTCACCGCTTCCAAACCTGCTTGAATGGGCCGTTTAGAGGCCAAGGTTAAATTCAAGCCAAAGTCAATACTCTTATTTTGAATTTCACAAAGGTTCGATATTGCTAAGAGTAAATAAATGCCAGCCAGGAGTAAAGTCACAGCAGGATAAAAACGAGTCACCGCCATCGCGTCGCACACTTTTCTTCTCAGAATTGGGTAATAGTTTAAATTTTCGGCGTTTTCTTTTAAACCGTTGATGCTAAAGCTTACAAAACTCTCGATACAAAAAGATTAAAACTATCATTTGCCATGTTTGAAGATACTGTAAAGATCTAACTTTTGTGCATCCACTGTTTAGGCGGTTTCGTGTTCACGCATGAATTCACCCGTCAATTAAACTAATCGTTTTTTAATGGTTTCCTTTCTGATTCTGTTGAGATCACGTCGTGTGAATATACTAAAACAATTATTCACCTCAGGCTTAGTTAATATTGTTGAATAATCCTCTCGACTTCGTCTCGGGGATTATTCAACAATATTAACTTCGCCTTCGGCGAATAATTGTTAATTTTTAATGAGTGACCACAGAAAATGATCATCATGGTAAGCAAATACAGTAAAAATAATAACATTGACACAGGGAAGTCGCTTTCATTAATTTCTAAAAGGAAAATAAAATCGAATTAAAGAGCACAAGAGAAAGACAAATAAAAGAGCATTTTGGATGAGACCTTTCCATAAGGTCAAAGCCACAATTAGACATCGGTCGATCTATGGAGCTATCTCACAAATCTAAACACCATTTTGTCGAGGCTTCTTATTCCATCTGCTGTTCACGCTAATTGTCAGGGGCACCCAACGACAATTTTCGGGAAAATATCTGTTCGGAAGACGATTTGAGATCTAGAATTTCCGGAACATTTGTTGTAAAATTTCTTGCTTGCCTGCCTCTCCTAGGATTTTCGACCGTCTAAAAAATGGTAAAATTGCCCATTTTCAACGGATTTTTACTCTAAAAAGGTCACCTAGAATTTTCGGGAGCCTTTTTTCTGGCTGAAATTTTCGAACGGGTAAGTTTTGATCCCTATAATTTTCGGATCACGAGACTTTCAGCTAGGAAATCCGAACAGATGAAAAATTTATAGGGATAAAAATATGCCCATATCCACCGTTTAAATACTAAAACACGTTTAACAATGCTATGTTTAAGTGGTTTTGAACTATATTCTTGTTGGGTGCCCCTGAATTGTTTGCAACTTTCCTTGACTGACTCATTGACTAGACATGCCCAACAGTCGGCTCCTTAGCTAAGAGCTTCACGAAAACCATACTTTAAGAAATTACACAGGAACGTAATGGGCTTTTGGATATTGAGAACTCAACTAAGGACGTTTTCATTTTATTTTCAATTTCACGAAAACGCTTAGAGCTATTTAAACGGACAAAAAGGAAGTCCAAATTACAACTAATTAACCTTTTTTGTAAGCTGTGAATTATTCTTCCAAAATAATTGGCTGAAAACAACTGAGGAAAAACTTTTCGTTGAGGCGAAAGAAAAGCTTGAAACCATATGGATTGAAAATGGTTATCAACTGTAAAATTATTAAACTATAGCGTTGGTTAGAGTGGGCCACCATCGAGTGCAAAGTCAAAAGAACACTTCTCGAGCACCACACTAAACCAGTTAATATCCATGCGTGGATATCTTCGCACCTCCATTCGCGAATCGGCAAAAATATTGACATACACTGTAGACGAGCAGCCAAACACATAAAAATATCTTGTCTAGGATCTTCATCGGTATTCGTTACTTAAATGTTCGTGACATCGATGAAATTACTTCCATGGGCAAATAAAGATATCTAAAAATGTATAAACAAGCAATTACTAATTCAAAAAACTCAGGCCTCAAAAAAATCATCCGCTTGCACTCTGGAAATTTACTCAAAAGCCTTTCCTCCTTTATTGATCACAAATACACGGACATAACATATTTTTCTTATAAAAGGCTATTATTACCCACCCTAATTCTCACGGGTCATTTTTATTTTCTTTACTTATTTTTTCTTCAAACTGCATCATCTCCGTATTTTCTTCCAGCATTGACGCTAGCACTAACTTTCAAATTCAAACTCCTAATAGTTAGTAACTTAAAAGAGAAAAATTGTCGCCTTTAACGGTGTGTTGGGGTTAGCGCCGTGAACCTCTGTTAGTTACCTAGAACAGGCCAATCTTCGAAGAGTTTCCTTCACCGCTCGTCTTACTTGTCCGATCCTCCAGTAGTAAAGAATTGGATTCAGTGACGAATTTAGATCAACTAAAGTCAGCGTCATTGCCCTTACAAAATATAGAGACTGAGATTTTTCATTTGGACTTTTCGGCAAAGCTTGTTCTACAGCATATGGAAGATAACAGACCGCTAAAGTTAACTGCACCCACAGTGCGTTTTTGACCGACCTTTTGTACTTTGCAAGGTTAAGTAGCGGGAGGTTTTGGTTCGGTTGTCCTGGGTAGACACTGTTTTGGCCTTTATATGCATGACAACAAAGAAAACGAAAAATCATGGAATAAGCGCAAATAGAAGTTACCAGGCACGATAATATTATAATGTTACCATACCATAGTGTTATGAAATAATTCACAAAAAAGAGTGTGGTGCCGACACTGGAAAGAAGCCACACAGCGATCACTGTCATGCATGTTCGCTTTAAAGTTACAATCTGTTTGTATCTGAGCCCCAATATCAATGCTAAGAGCCTATCGATGCTTATTGCAGTCAGTGTTAGCAGAGACACTGAGCCCAATATATAGCTTGTGATGTGGCTGATGAGAGCTGAGTATCGACAGGTCGTGTTCCCCTCAAAAACCAGCGAAGTCCAATACACAACAATGGCTGGTTCCGCAATGAGCCCAACGCAGAGGTCAGATGCTGACAGACAACGGAGAAGAAGTTTAGACGGCGTGTGAAGGGATAATTTCTTGTGAAGCGCAACTAGGATGATCGAATTCCCAAGAAACGCACAGATGGACAGGAAAATGTTCAGCACAATAAGACATACGAGCGGATGTTGTATACCTTCAGCTAATTCTGGGGAACAGTATCGCTCTACAGGATTACTCAGTGTGGTCTGCTTCTCAAGACCGGTGAAGTTCGCAGTTATCGTCATTTTTCTACTATGCGAAGGCGCGCTTTGACGCTCATTTTCCGCCTTTTTGCAATCACACCGGGGTTCCTCGTTCTGACTTTGAAGGTTTCAAATGGGAATTTTAAGCCGAGAGTTTTCGTTTATGACAAGAGAGTTTAACTGAAGACGTATATTCACATGCGCCAGGCTGGCGCGTCGAAGCCTGATTCACAATACTTAGTTGTTAGATGTAAACTTGCTGCGTGGTAATTTAGAAACTTGTCTTAATTTGAAGAATATTAATACTAGCAGCTGTCTTTCTTTTTCATAACTAAAACATCTTGTTTTTAACTAAATAAAACAAGCAGAGCACTAAAAGTAAGAGTTTTTATTGCTAACGATCCCGGGTAAAATATTTTTCTTTAGAAACATATGGGAGCTGTGTCGCAAGGAAATGTCTTCTAGAATAAAGAAAACACTCATCGTGGTCAGCTTTCACTTTAAAGCGCAGTGACATCCAAGCAAAAACACATTTAATTTCGATTCCAATTCAGTTTTAACTCCTTATTTGTTTAGAGAACAAACAGTATTTAATATTGGAGATGGCTTCAGATCACTCAAACCAATTTCAGATAACTGTCGTCTCTAAAAACAGACATACTGGAAAGTTTCTAAAAATCATCCTCCTGCAGTAGTTTTCCATATCATTTACATATAGCCGTAACTTTAATAAACAATTACAGCATATATAAGAGCCCCATAATCTTGCGACGGTGAGACATGGGAATTAGACACCCGTCCTGCAGGAAGTGATATCATGGAAACTTCATGTTTGCCAATAAGTGCGGTATATACAGTGAAAACGTGGTGACATTTAACCTACTGATTCCAAAGCTGACTTTGTGAGAGATTTTATCTGTGCTTTCAGAAACTATCCGGCCCTGTACTCTTGTATTATACATAATTTCTAAAGAGTTATGTAAGGAGCTGCAAGAAATCAGTAGCTTAGCTATACCCGATAATAGGGACTAAACCTAAGGTTTCTTTTCAGCTCAAAATTGAAACAAGGCCTGGCATTAACGTTTCTGACAAATGATTTATAGAGTACAGTTATCAATATTGAGAATGCTGTTTCTTCTAATTGGTTGTTGACATCTTCCTGCTATTTGACGCTGCGTGAGTTAAAAAAAAAATGCTTTGCGCTTTTATTGCATTCACTTTTGATGTCGCCGATCTGTCCGTAATGAGGCCTCTGTAGTTAATTAGAAGTTTTATTTTGGACAGACTAAGTTAGTAATTAGTTTACGCCAGTTAAAGGTTTCGTTTTCGCTGTCACTTTCGTAAAAGTGGCTCGGTGGGTGGGGCAATTAAAAAATAGAGGGGCAGTCGTAAGCGCACTTGCCGCGCGGATCGTGCTAACCGAGGCAATTTTTCTCTTTTTTACCAAACATGTCACCATTTTCCTCGGCGGTTGAAACCTGTCTAAATGTATGAATTTTTCTATAACAATGTCAATGTAGTGGTTCAATTTTATAAACATGCATGATAACAAAACAGCCAAGACAAAAGTGACTTGAGGTTTCCCGACATTCTCGACGGACAAGGTGCTCTTCTTCAGGGCCGATTTAATGAGGAATGGGAAAGTGGTTTTAGCAGTTGGAAATTTGATACAAAGGTAATCTTCAAAAACTAATATGGGCCAATAATGATAAACAATTCGGACAAATGAGATAATTTGGTAACTGAAAAAATTGAAAATTAAAAAAAGTTAAAAATAAAAAAATAATAATGATAATTACTAATAATAATAATAATAAAGTAAATTAAAATGAAATAAAAAATATAATAATAATGAAATCAATAAGTAAATGAATGATTTAACAGTTGTCCTCTCTGTTTATTCCCTGCGGTTGCATAGTTAGTGCCTTTTCAATGTGATAACGTTCGCGGGCTCTACGTATGGATTCTCCGTTTGGTGTTGATAGGTTCGAGTGGGATAAGTTCGAGGTATATATATAAGTTAGTGTCTGCGTTGATTAAAACGGCTGTGGTGCTTTATCATCTTCACTTTTATCTTTCTGTATTTATAAATTAATGGTAATACAAAAAAAACTTTATTAAAAACTTGTGAAAACCTATACTACAAAAGAAAAAAAAAACTGCAGTAGGGTAATTATAGTTCCTCGTCATATACATACATGAAATCCTCAAACTAACAGCATAGGAGTTAGTTGAAAATATATACATATAAATTCATTGTAAAACATGTGCATGACAAAACCATCCATTATGCCTTTCAACCCCTATCAGCCCCTAAAATATAAAAAGTTTCTTTAAAATGTTTCTAAAAAGAAAGATTAATTCGGGCAGGCTCTTATGTTTTCAATCTGTAAATCTGAGTCCACCAATGCTGTGGTACTGCTTCGTCAGTTTTGTTTTGTATACAGCTATTTCGAGAAAGGTTGTTGCCGTGAAAAATTGCAGGCGACATCCCGAAAGGTGTTGTGGGTGGTTTTGCGTTCTCTTGTTCTTCAAAGAAAGTTGAAAGAATGGCACGGGAGGCCACGGACATATGTCTGCGATTGTTAAAGGAAAGCAACGAAAATAGGTTCGACAGCTACGGTGGTTAATTGAGAACAGTGTATTAATCATATCCCATACTACCTTTCTGGATTGTCGCGTGCACATTTGCGGCTTTATCTTTTGCTGATACAATTAAAGTACCGGACGTGACATTGATCAAGGTCAAATGACTGGAGCTGTTTTTATAGAAAGACCGGCAGACAGACAGAGAGCCTTTATTTCAACGCGATGATTTTAAAAGCTATGCCTCTTATTTGGTCGTGCATAAAAACTAAACCTAAAAACGAAACATGATATACAAAAGAAAATATCACAAAATCGGACTATCTAAAAACTTATTGTCAAAAACCCTGACTAAAATATATGTATATCGTTAAAAACTCTAAAATCCCCAGCCTTGTCCCTAGTCGTTCTGTCTTGGCCCTTTGTCCGCGCGAAGTCTGGGAAAGAGCGGGCGAGAGAACGCCTAGCCAATATTGGCCAAATACCCCTGATTTTAGCACAATTTTACCCCTGGTCACATTTTACTTGTTTCTACAGCTGCGTTCTGGGTGAGTATCTCTCGGTGACTTCACAGCTCACGGTAGAGTCCAGAATTGACCGCACCGAGAACGCCTAGGGACTACGCTATAAAATCCCCTAAATATAATCAAAATCTTTACGTCTAAAGTTTGTAGTTGTTGTAAAAGTCTCTTTAAAATTCAAATCTTTAATAATGTCCATTGAAAGGGTTTTCCTCTTAAGGTCTTTACAACTTATGTTTGGAAAATTCTTGTCCTTAAAAATTAAAGTATTCCATAATTCGGGGCCTCTATGAGCGATAGAGTTTTTACCATAGGTAGCCTGAAACGAGGCACCGTTAGATTCTGGCGTTCGTAAAGAGTAACCTGTAGCGCGTTTTATCACAATATTGTCGGATAACAGTTGTGGGAGCTCATTATGAATTGCTTTATGCATAAACTTCAACAGAACTAGCTTATAACTTTTGCTCAACGGATACCAATCAGCTTGTTTAAAAACCTCCAACGATATCTCATGTTCTTTGGTAAGTTGAAAATTATTCTTGTCGCCCTACACTGCAATCGCTCCAACGAATCGAACAGATCAGCATTTGAGCACGACCCCCACAGAACGAGGCCGTAAGTTACTGATGGCAATATGACTTTGAGATAAAAATCAATAAGAACATTCTTTGGTAAAAACCTGGACCTCGATCCTGATTTGGTCTAGTTTCTTTGCGAAACTCTTCATGAGATCCAACATGTGCGGCACCAAGGTGAGTTTATCGTCAACTGTTGTACCTAGTAAGCGAGATTTGTTAGCCCACTCTAAGGCATCAGTGCCAATGTGGATTGGCGCCGATGATCCCATTGCACTGGTTTTACAAATTAGCATAGCCTAGCTTTTTTCCGGATGTGGGTTAAGGCGATTTAGAATACGCCAATCATACAATTCGTCTAAGCTTTTTCCAACTGAGAGACTGCTTTTATCTGCCATTCGTTAATAATGCGGTAAATCGTAATGTCGTCAGCGAATAAGAAAAGGGAGCGTGATTCCACACATGACGGTAGATCGTAGGTAAATAAAGAGAACAATGTAGGGCCGAGCACCGATCCCTGTGGTATACTGACGCATGTAGGCATGGTGTCAGAGTTATTTCCATTAATGACAGTGTACATCTTTCTCTCATTCAAGTAACTAGCAATAAGCTCCGCAAGGCCTTTGTCAGCTTGAACCATTCCCTGCTGTTAAAGAAGCTTTACGCTTTAGGTATCGTAGATCTATCTGTGATACGAGTGGTTTACAGACTATCTGAAAGGTAGAACTCAGGTTGCTGGGTTCCAGGGAGCTTTCTCAGACGCTGAATCTATATATTGGGTTGATGTCCCCCAAAGATCGATCCTCGTACCTCTTTTATTTGTGCTTCACGTGAACGATTTACCCACCGTTGCCCGCAGGTGTAGTGAGCTAATGTATGCTGATGACACTGTCTTATTCTATTCTGGAATAAAGGTTGCTGCTACAGTCGAGGAAAGTTCCAACGAAGATCTTGATCTAATTGGATCGTGGCTCTATAATGACAAGGTTAAGACTGAAGCTATGTTGTTCGGAACTCATGCTAGACTTTCTGATGTAGATTTTGGTCTAACGTTAAAGGGCCGACCCGGCTTCAAAAACGTGCCGCTAAAATTGTTTCAAAAACGAGCGACAGTGGCAAAGCTTTAGATCATCTTTTAAAGTGGCCATCCAAATATAGATGATATAACCATGTTTATGAACTCGTTAGTGGATGCATTAAAGGACACTGTCCGCAATTCTTAAAAATTATTTCACTTTTAACAGTCGCTTACACAATCGCATTACCCCAACAGGTTGCACTTACCAAGGGTTTGAACTGACATTGCTAAAAACTCCGTTTTCATTACAATGGTTGTATAATTTTAATAGGTTAAACTTAACGGTCTTCTCTAGACGTCGTCGGGTTATGCGTAAGTTTCTTGAACTTCAGAAATCAACTGTTTCATTATATTCAAGTAATCAATCAAATTGATGATTACAATCCCTTTCACTTTGTCAGGTTTTGTGATCATTACGCTTTCGCAAACCATTCAGGGCGAAGTTCCATTCATGAGAATGTTTTTTTGCTTTGTTTTTAAGCTTCGGGCGACGGGAATTTTATGTTTTCTCAGTTGGTTTATATACGCAATAGAAACTGTTCTTTACAAAAGAACCAATCTCGACCCAGACCTCTTCTGTGCATGTAGAGGTTATGTTTAAAGGTTACGTAGAGGAGAGCTAGCCGTCACAGCGTTTTGGGCATCCCCGCGTTTTGGGCATCCCCATTCCCAAATCCCTAGCGTTTTGGGCATCCCCCGGTACCCTCCCGGGATGCCCAAATCCCTAGTATTTTGGTCATCCCCTCCAAAAAAAATGCTGGATTTCGCGGGAAAATCGAAAACGTTTTAGAGATGGCTTCCGCTAAATATCGAAATCTTTTCCAGTATCTTAAAAAGAAGGCTTATCCGGAAGGCTTTACAAAGCAAAAAACGACTCTGCGAAAATTTGCCAAAAAGTTCGAGTATGACTCAAAATTAGAGTCCTTGTTCTACGTGGCCGAGGAGAAGGATGGCACAGCGCTTCGACGACTTAATTGTTATCACCGAGGAAGAGAACCGAGGGTCTTCGAAGAGTGCCACTCTGCTCCATTCTCTGGACACGCCGGCCGCGATAATACTTTTGGACCCTGTGAAGGTTGTTCCCAAGGTGTGGTACTTGGTGGGAATTGATTTAATAGAAGCCCCTACTACATCTCAAAACGGCAACAGATTTCTTCTGTCCCGTAGGTGCAAGAGGCATCTGTATAAATTGTGTGACAACCTTTCGTGTGTCAAGTAGCGCTGCGGGTTAAGTTGTACAGGCCTCAAATGTCATGCATACTAAATTACTACGAATAAAACGCAGTTTTATTTATGATTGTCTTTTGATTACTTTGTTTAGTATTCTTGTCTTTGGCTGTTTGGAATCAGACGAGCGCAGCTGCCTGCGATTGCGGTATTGCTCGCTTGTGAACAATTCAGTATTAATTAAAATTGAAGCTTTGCAAACAATGAAGCGTTGTACAGCGAAGTGATGTTATGTGGTTGTAAATTTCAGTTTCGTCATGTTTTTGAGCCAACGTTTAATGCCTATGGGTTTTTTTTCTGCGCAATAAACCCGGCGAAAAGTGTTAGACGATATAATTCTAACATGCATCTACACACTATTCAGCCGCAAATTCGTGATTAACAATCCCGACTTTACCCTAGTCTGATGATAATTTAGGCAAAGTCGAAGCGATCAGCGTTTTAAACGCTAGGGATATGGGAATGGGGATGCCCAAAACGCTGTGACACTCAAGAGAGACTGGGAACCTTGTAGACGGTTTTGAAGGGTGTCGATATTGGGACACACTGTGCCGGATACATTCAGTACTGTCTGCTCGATGCTCCTCCAGAGTTCGAATGTTCCGTGGGATAGTAGATGTAGTAGGGCATAATTTTAGCGCAGAAACTATGACCCTACATTTAGAATGGCTGCATATCTGCTAAGACCTCGAGATGGGGCTAGAGATATTAAAATTCCAGCCGGCAAGACTACCATCGGCAGAGGTCCTTTTCTAGGGGTAACAACTCGCTTACTATTGCTGATTATTCCTCAAGACCTTTGTTTTATCCATGTTTTCACGGTAAAATTGTTCATTAAAAGGTGACGGATAAGCGAGTGTCAAGATCCCACGCCGTTCTGGAACTGAAAGATGGAGAACTCACCATTTTGCCAGTAAGTTTAAGCTTATTTATCGTGTTTGCTAATTTCCCGCCAACGTGCATTTGATGTTCTTCTTTCGAGTTGACTGACACTTAGACACGTACTTTCTGCAAATATGGGTTGTCTCTTCTCTAAGTTATTTTTCTTGAATACTGTGAGGATCGGGGACGCATAATATCTACCGTTTAAAGCAGGTAATACAGGTCTACCAACAGCAGGAAAATTATACAATAAAGTTTTTACTTGTAACCATGAAACTGCCCCCCCACGTCAGGGCACACCCCCGGGGATTTGCAATTTTTTTCTCTTTTGGAGGTCTATTTCCCATCCCGGGCACACAGAAAGAGACAATTCCCCACCCCTGAGTGCCTGATCAACCTCATACATTTTTTGCTGCCGTTTTTGATCTGTACTAAAGCAAAATGACTTGTTTTCACAGCTTTTATGAACGTTATCCTGAGTTTATTGAGATAAGGATAATGGATGTCATAATGTAGTTAAAACGTGAACAATAAATTTGAAAACGAATTATTTATGAAGAAGAAAAACTCTAAAAAACGCCTCCTTGATAGAACACTAATTTCATGAGAGCACTGGGCCAAATCTGTAATATGCTTGTGATATGTAAATTATTTCATTTTCCCCTTTTTTGCATTGTAAAGCGCCATGAGCTCAGGATATGAGGGCTATATAAATAAAGTTATTATTATTATAATTATTAATCTCTGTTTCTCTGTCTATATATCAAAAGCCTTGTATTCATTTTCATATTAAAACTTATTGTTATTTAAAGCTATGCTGAAGAAATATTTCTGTCCTTCCTTTTCCAGAAAAAAACCCTGGATGTCATAATGTAGTTAAAACATGAAAAATAAATTTGAAAACAAAAACGAAGAAGAAAAACTCTAAAAAGCACCCTCTTGATAGAACACTTCATGAGAACACTGGACCGAATCTCTGTTTCTCTCTCTATTTAGGAAAAGCCTTGTATTTGTTTTCATATTAAAACTTATTATTATTTTTTACCTTGTAAGCAGGGGTTTCTTTCCAGCAAATGTTTCTGGTCCCTGTCCACCTCATAATGGACTTCCTCTCTTTGTTTTCTTTCAACTCCAATTATTCTACAGTCCTGAGAAAATCGGAAGCAACAAAAAAATCAGCCTGCCCACTTTCTTTCTTTTCTTTTTTTAGAGATCTGGATGAAAAACATATATTTTTTTAGTTGGCCTTATAGGTTAATTTTGATCTCATCGAGGTTGATATTCGCAGTACCCTTTGTTTCCAAGTCCTATGGAAAAGAAAGGAATTGAGAATCAAACTAGGTTAAAACGTTTTAACCTAGCTGAAATCAAATTTTACCTGTGACATACATTATACATACATGCCAACTGCACTGCACTTTCACTTTCTACTTTTCTCTCATCTAACAGCTTCACACCAACCCAACCTTTTATAAGGCCAGCGTGACAGAAAAGTTTGCAGCACTGAAGAAAAATGAAATCCAAAACCTGGCCAGTGGTAATGTCATTTCACTGCTTCCTGATGCCCTTTGCTTTGAAGTTATTTGTGAAGGAACCTTGACTCTAGAGGAGGGAAGTACCCCTAAGGAAATATCTACAGAAGACTTTCCTTCAGCCGACACTAATGAAAAGGCTAAAGCAAATTCAAAAGAATCTTCAGGTACAAAATCTTACAGCACTTTACCATAAATCATCCAATAGAGCATCATTTGTATTTTTAATGTTACATACAGTTGTACCTTACAATATATTTCTTATGTCGAAGGAAAAAATATTATTGAAACAAAAGTAATTTCTTGCTTTCCTGACATTATGATCTGTGAAAATAAGTTAAGCCAAATATGTAGTTTAAATTAAAAGACCCATAATTCAAAACTTAGGTGTACAGAGCCACCTTAAAATATTTGTCTTGTGTTAAATGCTAACAGACCTTTTACCGATACAGTGGCCATATTGAATTAATTAAATTTAAGGAGTATTTTAGTATTATAGCACGATCCTATACATGCTCAGTATTCATGCGTTCTTTTTGGGCCAAATTTTTCTTTATGTTTTCCTAGAAAATGATTGTAATGGGAAAGGAATGATCATTGTACTGTGTTTGGATGTAATAATGATCGCCTTTTTCCCGAAAAATATACAGTGAAGTTCTCTCTTTGCCAGAAAAGCGCAGGTAAATACTGAGTGAGTGTCCCCTGGCCATCCGATAATACTCGTTTTAAATTCAATATGGCTGCTGTATCGGTAAAAAGGTCTATTTTCCCTATGAACTGAGCAGCACTGCACTTGTGCAAAATTTAAGTCGTGATTTAGGCCTTAAAGTGGTAATTATTGCCAAAAAGAAACTGAGCTTGCTTTTGAGTTAAAAGCACACACAAGGCTCAAAATAAGGGTGTGTTAGTCAAACTGGTGATACCAATAACTGTTACCATTTGTAAACCACTATTCCAAGAAAAGGGCTACAATAAGGTGTTCCACAATGGAAGATCATTTCAATTCATTGATGTCATTGCAGTTAATGGATGGATAGAATGTATCCCTAACCACTGGTCCTTAAAGTCATTTTTTCAAAATCAATTACATGAGCTGTGAAAATGCTGTTGAGACAGAGATGATGATGATGACGATGATGATGATGATACCTTTATTAAAGTGTCAAAACTGTTGTATAACCACTAAGTGGGGACACTAAAATAAATTTAAAAAATAAATAAATCAATTAATAAATTAATTGAAATTAAGAAAAACTATGTACAGTAAACTATAAGCAAGTCAGAAATTTGAGAGAACTTTATACAATATGTACAAATGTATCCATTATCTTACAAAAAATAAGAAGTAAAAGATTAAGAAGTGCAAAGAGAGCAGTTATTTTGACCCTTTCATTCTGTTCAGTTCAAGAACAAAACTTTCCACCACTTCATTTCTTCATTAACATTTTTTTCCACACACAGAATCATTCCTTGATGAATTCATGGACATTAAACCAGCACTGGAAGCTAAGCTACATGTAACGGCAAAGGCCTCTTGCGGCAGTGATGATGGTGTTGAGTCTCCAAACCTTAAGACAGTGAGTCCTTTGTCTTCTGAGTAATAATTATCATTTAACAGTGTAAGTCAACATCCTTTTGGAGGATGTGACTGTCATCTGTAAAGACACATACACATTTTTGTACACTGTGGACTGATGTAGAGAGATGTGACAGTCATCTGGATGTTTTTAGTTGATCAACATGCTGTTTTGATTAAAAACAGCAGAAAGCAACTGTACATCCATAGCACATTAAAATTTAATAATTGTTTTATTATTCATTCAAAATAATGCCTAGTTTAAAAAAAAAACTGAAACATGCTTACACGTACCTCCATTGATGTTAAGTTCATCTTCAATTGCCTGTTTATTGGCAAGTTTAGACGATAAAGGGTTGTTCAGCTCTGCAAATACTCTCCAAATAGCAGATGCTGTTGGTCGAGTTTTACAGTACTGCTCAAAAGCAAGTTACCACCCTCTCGTGAGACGTGAACCACATAGAGCGCGACAAGAATCACGTGGTGCGCAACGTGATTCACATAAAGCATGATGACCTAAAAACTGTAAGTACAATGTTTGTATATCATGGCCAAAATTGCTGTTCTTGCTGTGTTTTTAGCCAATAGTTCGCCTATTTCTTCCTCGCAAAACAAGTGAAATGTCTTCTCAGTACCAAAACAATCAAACCTCATCCCCAGGTTTTCTCGATTAATTGTCGTGTTTTCTGGCAATTTTGCTGTAGAATTGATGTCATTTTTCACATAATTATTGCACACTTTTTCCACTTGGTCAACAGTGGCTGGTTATGGTGAATTATCTGTGGGATTTCAGCCAATCAGAAATGGATATTTTGATTGAATGAATAATAATAAATATTATTATTATTATTATTATTATTATTGTTATTATTATTGTGCTTGTTCCTTTTATTATTATTTCATTTTTTATGATTTTTTTCTCAGAGCGGAGAACATACAGCTTCACCATCCAAACCTCAAATTGAACCTGCGCAGCCATTACAAAAGACTCGTAGACTTCCCTCTTGGTTGATGGAATCAACCAGTTCAGAAGCAAGGTCTTCATTGAAGAAGGAAGGAAACAGAAAGGGAAAAGCTCCTGCAGGTGAAGTACTATAATGTTAACAGTAGGTCATGTCCAAGTTCAAAAACTCTCACTTTTATAGCGAGGCTGAGTGCAAAACCACTCTTTTGAAAATGAGTTTTTAAATTTACATGAGTATAATAAAAATTATAATAATACTACTCTCATTTCAAAGGCTTCGTACTTTGTCTTGTTTTGAAAAAGAGGCTTGGGACAACTCCCTGGGGGGTACTCTAGATTTCGAGTGATAGGAGTGATCGGAGAACTGTTTAGGGTTTGAAATTTTTTATTCCCAGATATTTTTGGGTAAGAAAATTTTGCAAGTTGATTTGTTTGGGTAGGAATTTTTTGTGTATTCTAAACAAACTGAGGATTCATTGTAGTGCCCGCATATTCCAGCCAGGTAGTTCTGAGAATAAAGTACGACCAAACTTGATCAGCAGCTTTTTGTAATATTTGACAGCATATTTTTGGGGGAGTTTGGATGGACATGGCCATGGATTATAAATTTAATTTGACATGTTTTTCTCCAAAAAAAGGAATATTCACTCCCCAACTAACCCCCCCATAGACAGGATTGGCTAAAAACTGATCACAGCTGGTACAGCGTGTATGGAACATTCATTTTCTGGATGCGCTCCATGTAATTTTATTGTTACATCTTTGACTTTTCCTTTATTTTGGGATACATGTACATACACAATGTTCATGGTTTACATTATATCATGTATTCAATCGGCGACAAAATTGTTGGGACATTGTACTTAAATAGGGTAGTTTCGGAGAACAAAGGAATCCGCACCCCTCCCCTGTCCCCTCCATGCAAAGTTGGGGTGTTTGTTGTTTTCTATAGGCAGCTAGAACAAGGGCACAACATTGCACGGAGGGGATGGGGGAGGAAAGCTATATTTCCTCCTTTTAAAGTTAATAAAACGTACAAAAGCCCAGTTTTGGGCGAAGTGTCTCAACTCATTTTGTCGCCGATTGTCTGAATAGAAATCTACGCGCTGTTGTCTTATTAGCACTGGTTAGGAGACGGTAACTAGTTGAGATTACTATATACACCGGGTTGTTTTTCAGAAGATAGATAAGATACCCATATAATCCCTTTCCTGTGTTTTTCGAGGGAAAATTAGTTTTGACAATCTTTGTACTCGGTAGTGTTTTCAAGTAATTACGCAGCATACCCACGTACGGAATGATTGATTTTCCTCTGGTAACTAAGTGTGATCGGTAGGAATCGATGGCAGGTCATATATTGTATCTGAATATATCCCTAGTAAGTTCGAAGTGTTTATTCTAAGTTTGGCTATTTGATAAGGGTGGGATGGGCGATAAAATAGCCATGATTACTATGCGCAGGAGAATTTTCAGGAAAAATGTTCCAACTTCTAGCGCACAGCAAAGCTGCATAGCATCGCTAAATCTGTGCAGCAGATTCGTTGCCCATATACCCATAAGGGTCTTTGAAGAATGTACTTTACAGTAGAAACTATGAGGTCAGGAGGGGACTGAACTTCTCTTCACTATTCCCTGGTCCCTTGTCTTTTATGGCATGTACATGTAGGATGATTGTTTTTGTTGTTTTACTTGAATTGCAGCAAGTAAAGCTGGGAAAGCTACACAAATGACAGCCTTGAAAATGCAGAAAAAGCAAGCAAGAACAGACTCTGCAGATAGGGAGATTATTGGCAGTGACGATGTTGATGAAAAAGATAGTGGAAGTTTGAAGGCAAAAGGAAGATCAACAAAACAAAAAAAGAGAACATCAGCTGACATGCAGGAGAGTGATAATGATACAAAGCCTACAGTGTGTAAGAAAACTAAACCAGCTGCAGCATGTGTTAATGAGGACTCATCTTTGGCGACTGCAAAGACCAAGCCTGTAAAACTTGCAAAACAAGTCACAGCAGATGAGTTATCAAATGAAAGTGAAGAAGATGCAAAACCTGCTGTGTCAAAGGTTAAGGTTAAATTTTTTTTTTTTTTTGTCAGCTAATCACATTGTAGTTGCAGTGGGAAGGTGGTAATTTTCATTAAATGCCTGCTGACAAGATTTATTTTTAGGAACACCAGAGCAATAAAATAATAGGAAATTACTTATTGCTACAGCTGTAAGCCAAGAAAAAAAATAATATATCATGACTTGGAAGTCATGATAATATTTTTTTCTTGGCACTGGAAGTCATAAACCGTAATAAAAATTAATGTACGATGCACTTTGAGGGCAATTCAAGATGGCGGGCAATAGGAAACTCATTAGATTATGCTAAAGTTTCATACAGCTGTATATAAGCTGAATCATATAGCTCTACTACTCTACTTGCTCTACTGGTTAAGAAATCTAAGTGGAAAAATAGTGAATCTTTGTAAGTTCATCCTGAAAATGTCACTGGAAAACTATTTGGTTCTGTTATTTTAAGATCACAGTAAGGTCATGATACCGAAACTATTGTTAGTATGAAATCCTAGGGCTTGCACCTGCAGCTAAAACAATTAAGCAACTTGACTTTGTGTTTCTTTACTATTACAGGTGCTTTAATTTATGTATTATTATTTTAACATTGAAAGCTTCAAAGGCTGCGTATTAAAATGAAAAAAAAAAATGACAACTACATAATTTTATTATGACCTTGTACTATTCAAACATTTTATATTGAGAGCACTTTTAACATGTCTCCGTTCAATTTTCCCAAATTATTTCTGTCAGTAGTTTTCTACATGTACATGTAGTTTCCAGAAATCTAAAAATTAGTAGCAGCAGACACTCTTTCTTTTTGCGTAACCTGTCCTCTAATGATAGCCATAAATTATGATTTTGCTTTGCTAATTGCAAAAGCACTTTTTCTTCTCTTTGTAAGAAAAGACAAACAAAAGCTACTGATCCTGACAAAGACAAGAGTGAAGACTCCATACTTCCACCCTGTCCATATGGAAGCGAATGTTACAGGTACATGTGGAGTGTGATACCAAAGGTCATGAAGTATAAATAAAGTACAAAGAGTATAAGACAAAATATGAGAGAAACAATAATGGTTTTATGATATGTTTTCAATCATTGATTTATTTTCTCTCTCGCTTCGCCTTTGGCTTCTAAAAAAATACAAGACTAGGAAATATAAAATACTGAAATACAGTTTTACATATGACTTGTATTATCCGCTGTCCAGCATGCAATGCAAGGCGACACGTTGAAAGTTGTGAGAACATTGTTTCTTGGTCTCAGACCTCTAATATTATTCATCGACTGTTTGTAATTTGCCCTCTTTTGACCAAAAAAAAAAAGAAAAAAAATCCATAATACCTGTACATTATAATAATGACAACAATGATGATAATAATAATAATAATAATAATAATAATAATAATAGTAATAACAATAATAATAACGATAATGTACAATAACATACATGTAAAAATAGTAATAATAACAGGCATTTAGACAATACTATTAAAGGAATTTTAATAACTAAAACATTTAATAATCTTTTAACAGAAAAAATCCTGTGCATTTTAAAGAATATTCACATTCTGAAAAGGATAGTAAAGGTGAGAGTGACAAAGCTGCAGAAGATAGTGATGGTGATGATGATGATGAAGATGATGATGTTCGACAAGAATGCCCTTATGGCACCACTTGTTATAGGATAAATCCCCAACACAGAAAGGATTTCAAGCATAGCAAGGCTCCTGGTAGGCTTGTGCATTATATCTAGCAGAACTGATATCATTGGGTGGCATATCTCTTGATCTTGATTCATGTTTGCAAAATCAATGGACTGGGTGCAGCTGAGTGGGATTTGATAGAAACATCTACAATGTCTGTATTGTTTACAGCTTATCTGTTGTATATAAAAAATGCCAGCTCAGGTCTGCACTTTTTCTTCTTTTGATAAAGAGCAGGGAAGGGACATCAATCAACACCGCTGGAAAGGTGACTCGACCCAGTTATTTTGTGAGGGTACCATCCTGCTTTGAGGCTCTCTGGTATCCCCACCTTTACTTTGATCGTAATTCTAACATATAGCATGGATAACATATAGATCAATCTACAATCGGCGCATTTACAAGGCCCTAAAGCTTTTTGCTGACTTGCAAGGACCCGTCTGTTATAAAGATCCCCAAAATAAAGGGATAAATCTCATATAGTTTATTAGATATACATGTAATCGTGTAAAGTTTGTTTATCATTTTTGCATAAATTATGGCCTAAATTTAGAAACCGCTGAATTTCTTGCATTGTGTCTTTGCGATTTTGGTGAAACTCTGTTCAAAGCAAGGCACTAATATGCACTATATTTAGCCGAGAGATTTTCAAGAAAAAATGCTGGCAACCGTAGAATTTCGACTCAGACCCCAAAGAGGCATGGCACTATAACCACGTGACATTTTACTCCGATTGCCAAATATTTTATGCTATAATTATTGTAGATTGATCTGTATATTATCTATGCTATATGTTAGACTTACGATCAAAGTAAAGGTGGGGACACCAGAGAGCTTCAAAGTAGGATGGTACCCTCACAAAATAACTGGGTCGAGTCACCTTAAATTAAGGTGAATTACCAAGTTCAAATGTGAAACGTCCAGAACAAAGGTATTGCTCCACAAAGTTGCAAAATTGAGCAGATGTTTGTATGGTGGGGCCCTGCCTTCTATCCCTATGTACACACATGTAAAAGCTGTATCAGAGACTTACTTTTCATTAAATTAATAACTTTCAAACTTAGCAACTTCACTGATTTTGAGGCATTTTTTACAGCTCTGATGACAGATTTCTGCGAGCTGGTTCCAGTCAAAAGTTGAAAAAGCCGTGAAAGGGTCTATTAGAGAGAATTAAGATCAAAACCACCTGACCGCGTGCATAAAACCACCTTTCATAATAAAGTTATAACAGATCTAGCCAGTGTTTTTTTGCCCTTACAAAATAATGAAGGGATGCCTGGAGTATAGCCCCTACTGACTTCTTATAAGGATATTAAGCTTTTTGATTTTCTTCCCGGCCTATTTGCCTTGCATACCAAATGCTTATGAATCAAGGAATTTGGCAACAAAGCAGGGGTCACTTAGGTTGTTTCATGTTTAACTCTTCAAAACAATGTGGACATTTCTTTGCCATTGTTTTACACAACTACAATGCCATTTTGCAAGTCATAGACTAAAATGTGAAACTTCTTAGTTACACATTATGTTTTATGTAGGAATTGTCGTATGTGCCCACCAAAAATTTTGTTGCTTTAATTTCTTCCTGTGCGTTTTTACTTTTTTCACTGCCGCTCATTTTCACCTTGCTGTACGCTAGCTACATGTAGCATAATTGTAATTATTTTCTCATTTGCTCATCGCCGCTATGAAATTTCATGTTTTTCTTCCAATAAAATTCATCTCCATTGTTTTTAATCACTTGCTCTGGCTCTTTCTTGGTTATCCGCCTGAGTGTAGACATCAAAATAACATCAGATTCTAAAAAGACTTGACTTTGTTGTTGTTTTTTCTCTCTAAAAGTCCTGGTGGCCATGCAATTTCCTGCGAAAAACACCTCAAGTTGCCTGTGGTGTCATACCTGTTAATTGAGTTATTTTAGATTGGAGGTATACCTGTTGTGTGGATGGATGGATGGTCGGGCATATGGACATGTGTTTACTAAAATTTTTTGGATGGATGAATTACCAAATTTTCTTAGGCGTGTTGAGCTCCACTATTATAGTTGTAGTTTACCAGTCATACTGTAGTTTACAAGCCAGCTGAGCTAAACCAAAATAAAACCTCCATATATGACTACAGAGTATACTATTAATAATAACAAAGTGACCGTCATACTGGTCCAAAATGTTTATACATTAATTTTTATAGTCTCATGTGGCCACCATTAATAATGCGGTTGTGACTTAGCAATGCTCCTTGTGCAGAGTGGCAGATTTGTGTGACAACTGTGATAACAGCTTGGTATGTAGGAGACTTACGTGTAATTTTTATGTTCAAATTATAACAGGTCGCCCCAAACGGTCCAAATCCAAGCTCAAGAGTGTAGTTGCTAATGAAAGTGATGATGATGGACCAAACACACACGATTACAATGACAGCTTTATAGATGATGCTGACGAAGAAGACGACAGCAGTTACTCTGCAGGCTCTGATGACTCCGACTGGAAACCACAGGGTGGAGATGATAATGATGATGATGACGATGTTGATGAATTGCTTACAGAGGCACGTGGCTTTCTGCGCAGTAAGAAAATGGCAAAGCCTGTTTAATGAGTTTAAACCCCCTACTGACCTCCTCTTAAATTCACTGGAAGTTATAAATTAAACTTAATGATTCAAAAGGACGACATAATCTAACTTCCAAATTAATATACTTGTACCTTTAAATTCTGAAATGGCGGAAGATGGATGATTTGCTTCATGCCATCATTATTGAAACTCGTTTTACCACAATCGTTAGTTCTCTTATCTGATCATATAGATTATAATATCATCCTTTTGTATTGTTAAGTTTAATTATTTTCTATAATTTCCAGTGAATTGTAGAGGGGGTGTCATTAAGATGGGTCAGTAGGGGGTCAGTGTTTTGTCGTAGCCCTAGACAATCTGTGAGCCAGTAAGCCATGCATTTTGTGTGAGTCATGGGAAATTTTTTATGAAATTGCAAGTACATGATAAATGCTTTTGTGTAGTTCCCTATGGGTACAGTGTATTGTATGTGTGGTTTTGCTGCTGGTATTTGCAGAATTATGCATTCTTGGTCAACTTTCATTAATTAGGGCTGAGTGTTTATTTTACTGCAAGGATAAAGCACTCATTTTACAGTAAATCTTTTCCATATTACTGCTTTTTCCATCAATTTTCTGTATTATTTTTTTGCATGGCTTCCTGCCTGGCTGGCTGGCTGGCTGGCACTGTCAGTCCTTACTCTATCTAGTACTGTTGTTGAGTTATCACCACTAAAGTACACTGTATTTTAATTTTAAAATATTACTATTAGTAATGGTAACAGGATTGAGTAGAGTCCAATTTGGTCTGTAATCATACAAGTGATTAACAAAATCGGACGACCGCGTAGCGGGAGTCCGATTTGTTTAATCACGAGTATGATTACAGACCAAATTGGACGACACGAAGTTCTGTTACCAATTAATCATAACTTTAACAAAATTTGTGACATAAAAGGCTATTTTTTAAATCAAAACACAAGAAATTCAAAATTTTGTTAGGCTAGCAGTGAAAAAAAAATGCCATTTAAGCGTGCGCGTGATGGCGCGTACTGTCCAATTACTGGGGAGGGGCCTGACGCGTACTGTCTTATTAAACTGTCCAATTAAGGCTGAAATCAGGGCAGTTGATAGCCAATCAGATTTGACAATTTTGTCATAGTTATGATTAAAAAAAGTATCTTATATGCTCTGTAATCTGGTGCTGGCTTCATGTACAAACAGTGTCAGTACAATACACGTATGGGCCAATTTGCAGCACTGCAGGGGTTAGCCACATTGAGTCTACATTTTGCCAGCATAATATTGAGCATAACAGTGAGGCAAAGGAATCAAGCATTATGCTGGAATTATAGTGCAAGATTCTTTAATTGACTCTTCATGTTTTATAAAATTTTGTCAAAACTGTAGGATGACAAAGAGAAACCAATCCAACTGGTATCACATTTTAAGACCAGTACTCTTGCAGTAAACGTAGCTTTCAGCAGTTCCAGTTCTACAACATTGTCAGCTTAGATTACTGTAGTTGTCTCAACAACTGAATGAAACTCATACAGAATGCATATACTGGTACATGTAGTGAGCATAAAATGAGTGATGCTTTTATTTTGAACATTGCATGTTAAATAGCGCCATTATTTTGTTGAGCGTAAAGAATTATTGGCATAATAGTGTGTAACATTGAGCATTATGTGGACAACCCTACAGTCTGCAATGCATACTGTAAATAAGTTCCTAGCCTGAGAAAGCAGCTGACATAATTATCACCACACCTCCACCAGTTTCCTTTGCGAAATGACATGTCATTACCCACATCTGGGTAGTACTTCTGATTGGTTGCACCACGAGGGAAATTTGCTTCAACCAATCAGAAGCACTTCCCAGACCTAACTAGTGACACACATCATCAGTATGGAATTTCTGCAGTCACTTTTAGACGTCACTTCACAGGTAAACTAGTGGTGGCATTGCAAAATGTCAGCTGTTTTCTCAGGCTAATAAGTGCCTGGTCATTTCTACTGGCAGGTAATATTATTGAAACTTCAGGGCATTTTTGAATTTATTTATTTTTAATAGCTATAAAGCAAACAATTTTCGCTAGGAAAAATTCTTATCAGTAGGATAATAATAATTATCAGTAATAGTAGTAGTTATAGCAATAGCAGCAATGTTACATAATAGTTTTCTGTCCTTTTAAGTAGAAGGTCAAAACATTTTCTTAGTTTAACATTCAGTTTATAATTATCATGGTTTTTTTTTAACAAAGTGTATTTCTCTTGGTTTTGTGCCACCTTTTTTGGTTTACTTGGGTTTTGTGTGTAGGAGTAAGACAGTGTTGTCTCAGTCGATTGTACAGACAATGCATGGTACTCATTTAAGAAAGTAAGTAATATAATTATGTAACCATTTGCAAATTTTAAATTTCCTCAAAATGTTTCTACATGGACATGCATATAATTATCATTGATTATCAAGCATGACTTGGAATCAGTACTACTTGAAATTAATAAATAAGTATTTTGCAAAAAAATCATGAACTTCGAATGTACAGGGTTGTCATTAAGAGCCGCCGGGGCCGGGGATTTTCCCCGGCTACTAAGAGAGTGGCCCTCGGCTACTTTTATTCGAAAATAGAAGAAAAATAGAACCAAAAGAAATCCCTAGCCGTTTGATTCCCCACCTACTTGTGGTATTTACCCGGCAACTTGAAATCTTAGTGACAACCCTGAATGTACATGTGATATAATTCTGGATGTCGATGGAGGTACATCTAGTACTTGTACCTACAGTAGTACGGTGTACAAAGGTGTTCATTTATAAACTGCAATGAAAAAATGATAATAATGCTCCATGTTTACTAAATTAGTAATAAAGCAGGTTATTTTGTTTACTTGAAATAAAACGATGTCTTATTATTAATGGAATAAGAGCCTAACCCGCTTCCTCCCAATTGCTGTGATCCCCCAGGCAAGCAGCACAGTAATCTATGGGTGTCCCGTGGCTTCCTGGGTGTCCTGTCACTATTTAGGCATTGCAATCTGGATTTATGTTTACCGGTTGATTTTTAGCAAGAATGTCCAGCATTGTCATGATTACAACTGAATTTAAAATCATAACACTGTCATTGAATCGTTCCATATTGCACTATTAAGGGCACTTTCCATTTGTCAGAACTGAGCAGCCATCTGGACCATTCCCGTAGTAATGAGAATTTTACTTTTAGTCAAAACTATCCAACCAGATAGGTCAAATCCTAAATACTATGCAAGAAGGAGGTGGTTTTTCAGTAAAAGCTCTTAAAAAAAACCCCCTATTTCATTGTTAAAATGACTTCTTCAGTCATGGTCTGGCCGGCCAGTTCTGACTTAGGGAAAGTGCTCTAAGTTTCGCACAATGTGGCACAATAAATTATACTGCACACTGTTTCAGATTAATTTTGTATGACTGTAAACTGGCCAATAAAAACCCATATCACAAAGGACTTGACTCACTTGTGGTCCTTTATCCCCCCAAAATAATACAGTCAAACCTCTTTCAATATGGACACCAAAGGGACAGAATTAAGTGTCCGCTTTACAGAGGTGTCCGTATTATAGATGTAGGGAATGCATGTTTTTTGGCATTTCTGGGACCAAACGAACTGTCCATAATAAAGAGGTGTCCGCATTGTATAGGTGTCCGTAAAGACTCAGGTTAGACTGTAGCCTATATTTCCATTACCTACATGTCCTTTGTTACAATGAAATATGGCACAGTGGAATTCAAAGTTTGTGCATGAATTTTATATTTGAATGAAGCTTGTTGGGTCATTCTGAGCATTTAGGGTGTGAGTGAGATTTGTTTCAGCTGCAGTCACATTACCCATCACAGGTTTAATATGGTTTTTGATAGTCCATTATTAGTAACATCATAATCCACGATTCCTGCTCTCCTGTTCCTGGAGCTGCTTCACAACGCAACCCTTGAATGAAGTTAGACGTACATCAATCTCACCTTCCTCAAGCTTGAAATAAAGAAAAAGAATATTGAACAGTTAGAAATAATTATGATAACTGGTAAATAAGTAGGTAAATAAACAACAGATGAAAAAAAAAATAGAAACTATAAAATAATACATGTAATTTTCTGCAGTAAAAAAAAAAAAAAAAAAAAAAAAAAAACGAATAAGAAATTCTACAAGATATATCAGCATTAAACTTGACAAAAGCAGTCATTGGTGCCTTGTGAAAAGAAAAATGAATGTTTCAGGAACTGACGTGTAATGGAAAAGCAGTGAAAACGTTGCTTAGAAGTGCACAACATGTGTGGCCCAGCAAAGAGTTAAAGCAAAAGCTTGGACAGGGATTCACACACTTAGCATTTACAGGTAGTCAAAGCCCAGGGAGGTGTACATGTATTCCCTTGTATGGCCTATATGGGGATGTGCTGCAGGACAGGATATGGTTTTTGTTCTCTCCGTCCTAAACAGGGTATATATAATTTTGTGTAAGTCTAATTAGTCAAGTCCTAATTATAAACAGGGCATTGCCTGTACGATTGACTTGATTTGCTCGAGGAAATTGTTTGTACTCCATTTATACAATAAAGCAAATGATAATGTAAATTTGCTCTATTGCAATTGCCAATAAATGGCTTTAAAACAAGACGTCAAGTTGAGTTTATTGTGTCATAAACAGGTATGTGTTTTAATAGGATCTTTGTTTTGTCCTCAGCAGGGTCAAGGTTTTAAACCCTCAGAAGCTCACCTATTCACAAATACTGGTGAAGTACCCTCCAGGCCGCGGTTGTTCAAACATTGGATGGTGCTATCCACAGGATAAAAATCTATCCAATGGATAGCACAATTGGTTTTCCTAATACTTTATCCGCTGGATAGTGATTTATCCGGTGGGTAGCGCTATCCAACTTTTGAACAACCGGGGCCAGGGGGTCAAAGATCGAACACACATCATGCAACATGCCTAACAAGTTAATATGACAGACACTTTTTTATTTACCTCATCCCAGGCATATAACTCGTCATAACAAGTCTGTGATATGCACTTCCTTGTACACTTGATCAACTCTAATCCAAAAAGGTCTTTACATTGATTAACTTCACAACCTTTTTCCAGTGGTGAGTACTTCTTAGCCTAAAACAATTGAAAGACAGAGGGAACATTTTAGACTAAATTTATTAAAGTGCCCACATATCATCACAATTTAATTTTTTTTTCATCATAATACACACAAAAAAAGTGCTCCTTAGTTTATAAATTTTTGCATTTTTGTTACATGCTTATAAAAGGGACAAGACCAAGACACGGAGCCCTTACCATTTGTACGGAAATTTTGGTGAAAAATTTCTGTCAAGTGGTACTATTAGTTTTTATTGGCACCGAAAACAGGAATGGGATTTAGTTGTACCATTTACAAAATACCGGTAAATTTTTCACTTTCTCTCAACATGAAGCCTGGCACTGGTAATCCAAACAAATGGTACAGAGAATTTCAGTCGTTTCCGTAAGAAGGGGAAAGAGGTAATAACGTCCCCATTTTCACTGGAGTTTTTATTATACATTCTTATTTGCTTGTTTATTATGCCGAGGAATGTTTTAATAATTTTATTGTGGAATAAGCCGCTCAATTCCATTTTCTTACATCCAGGGTCTTGCACTAGGTCAAAGCCCTCACGACTTATGCATATAAGAAACACTGCACGCTCCATCAACTGAACATAAGCTGTAAAATATAAGCTTAAGCTTAGCACAAACAAAATGTTTAAAGCTTATGGATACATGACATAATTATTTTCGGCAAATTACTTACTAGTCGCTGCTTCTTTCTGAATGTGTAATGCTTATAACGAAATTCTTTTGCATGTAAGGAGAAGAAGAACGATATCATACATAGAAATATCAGTAACACGAGTACCGTGAATTTTTCAGTAATCATGGTCTCCAACTGTCGGCCATATTTTTATGACCGCGGGGTCGACTCGCAGTCTGGTACTCAATTTCATCCCCAGTCCCTCCCCAGTAGAAAGTTGACTCAAGAGGAACGTGTACCTGCGGTGGCTAAACAACCTTATCAATGCAGTTGGTAAAACCAAATCTTTCTTTCAGTGACCGTTTTCACCTAAAACATGTGGATGGTACGCCAACCCGGGGGAAAAATCTCCTTTTTACAAAAACGGATACTTGTGGACGGGGCCTAAAGAATTAATATTAACTGACTGATCTGAAAGCAATGGTCACACACCTGAAATCTCGTTTACATGGCTTCCTAACTCTGCGCGATTTACTGTAACTCACACTTCAGAGGTCAATTTTTTGTGGTACAGAAACCTCAAAGGCATGAAAAACTTTTCAAAAAAAATTGCTTGGGTTAAATGAACAGCATTTTCGGTGAACTACTTTTAAACAGAAGAAGGAGATTCTGGTAATTTTTCAGTTTAAAGATTTCATGCAGCGAAATTAGGCTCACGCCTTTGGTAGAGACAGTTTTATCGGGTCTCTCTGCAGGTACCGGAAAGCTTGGTATTTTTGGTCACTTGGGATTAGTCTTTATTTGGAGTTGTTTTGTTTCCTGTCTTTTATTACTATTGTATTACGTAATCTGTGCTCCGGTACTCACAGAAGGAACCGTTTTATCGATGAAGGTTGCTCTACAGATCATATACCAAATTTCATAACCTTCAAAGGTTTCAAAAGTAACAACCGTCGGTAAAACAGATTAGTTTTTGCAGTCTGAAGTTAGAAAGAACACTTACGAGATTCAGCCTTTGATCGGATCAATATATCTAATTATTTAGTTCCCGCGCAAAAAATAGGGATGATTTAAGCTATAATCATTCTGTCAGCTGTTTTGTTGGAACTTAGAACACCGCTGAAGGATAGAAATTGTTGGCTATTGCGTCTACTGACTACTGCAAGTCATCATCAAATTTGATAAAACAAGTGAGCGATTCGACTGAGTCCTCCGTACTTTTCACTCGTGTATCGTGCATGGATAATGAAGTATTGCTCGCATTATTATTCATCTGCCTAATTTACTACATTTATATTCACTGTATATTGATCGATTTCGGTGGGGTTTGATCCGATCTGGCTGATAGCTTGCTAGCCACGTGTTGAAAACTAAACCTTAATTTTAAAGCTTGAACTATAGTTAGCTATAATTTGTAGCAAACCAAATTGCTTGTAAAATATGGCTTCATTGAGATATACTGGTTTTATTGCCAAATCTTTAGTGGCAGTCTAATGACAATTGCTAGCTTACTTAAGACATTGGCGCGAAAAACTTAGTCCGTCAAAGACGGAAGATCATACCCCATCATGTCACTGAAAATAATCAGTGCTTTGAACAATACGGTTTTGCATATGGCTGGACTCAGGTGATGCGATATAATCCCTCGCTTCTAAGGAGCTATTGTTTAATTTTTTGCACATTCAAGAAAAGACAACGATTCAAAAGAAATTATAGGCAATTATAATTACTTCAAATGCAGATTTTAAGTCGGCGGTAGTACGGCTGAAAGCAATAGTTCGTCGCTGTTGTTGGTGTTTTTAACTTCAGGGTAAGTCTTGATATCTTTAATTGCTTTCTATTTTACAGTTTGCTTCCGAACTTTCTTACAAACTTGAGACTGCTGTCTTTTTCCTGTTTTAATTGACATAAACTTGAACAAAATACTTTTAAATCTCGCGCAATTCATGCTTTAATGAATCTCTGTCATTACTGATTACTTTTACGGAAAGTCGATCCGTAAGTTTGTACGGCTACAAGCGCAACATGATGGCAGAGATAGCACCCTGATGCTGACGTCTCTTCCGTCCTGGGTGTGGTGCCGTCTAAAGGTCAAACGTGTGCGATGTGTAGGCAATTAAGTGGATCTCATTAAGATTTTCGAAGATTATTTTTTGTTGGCGCGTGGGAAAGGTGATCTGACCAGGAATTTGCACACGCCAATCATGGAGATAGACAGATATAGTCCTAGATCTGAGGGCTTACCGACTCACAATTTTGCTGGGTTAAATTGTGGTAGTCATAAGAATGTCTTTCAGGCATGAGCATCACAAAATTGGATTAAAAGTTTTGAACAGCAACTTATTTTTTTTGTTCTGAGTTGTCAGCCGAAAGAAATAACACATTGGATTTTTCTGGATCCTGCTAATTGCAGGCGAAAGTTATCAAGAAAATTTGTGCTAGCGTAACTAACAGAAATTCCCACCGGTAATGTTAAACAGGAAATTCCCGCCAAAATTATCATTCTGGAGGTCATAATCGAAAAAGGCTCTGAATAATTATATATCGCTATGAGGTCGTATGAACTCCCTTATAAAAATCTGTTTTGCATTTTGGTGTCAATAGAAACTCAAAACCTTAACGCCGGGGTACTAATTGGCTATTGCGTCTGTTACTACAAGTCATCATGAAATTTGATGAAACAAGTGAGCGATTCGACTGAGTCCTCCGTACTTTTCACTCGTGTATCGTGCATGGATAATGAAGTATTGCTCGCATTATTATTCATCTACCTAATTTACTACATTTACATTCACTGTATATTGATCGATTTCGGTGGGGTTTGATCCGATCTGGCTGATAGTTCATCGTCTAGCTTGTTGGCCAGGCCACGGTTTGAAAACTAAACCTTAATTTTAAAGCTTGAACTATAGTTAGCTATAATTCGTGGCAAACCAAATTGCTTGTAAAATATGGCTTCATTGAGATATACTGGTTTTAGTGGCAGTCTAATGACAATTGCTAGCTTACTTAAGACATTGGCGCGAAAAACTTAGTCCGCCAAAAACGAGCATCATAGCACATCATGTCACTGAAAATAATCAATGCTTTGAAGAATACGGTTTTGCATATGAATGGACTTAGGTGATGCGATATAATCCCTCGCTTCTAAGGAACTGTTGTTTAATTTTTTGCACAGTCTAGAAAAGACAATGATTTAAAAGAAATTATAGGCAGTTATAATTACTTCAGATGCAGTATTTAAGGCAGCGGTATAGTAAGGCTGAAAGCAATTGTTCGTCGCTTTTGCTGGTGTTTTTAACTTCAGGGTAAGTCTTGATATCTTTAATTGCTTTCTATTTTACAGTTTGCTTCCGAACTTTCTTACAAACTTGAGACTGCAGTCTTTTTCCTGTTTTAATTGACATAAACTTGAACAAAATACTTTTAAATCTCGCGCAATTCATGCTTTAATGAATCTCTGTCAGTACTGATTACTTTTACGGAAAGTCGATCCGTAAGTTTGTACGGCTACAAGCGCAACATGATGGCAGAGATAGCACCCTGATGCTGACGTCTCTTCCGTCCTGGGTGTGGTGCCGTCTAAAGGTCAAACGAGTGCGATGTGTAGGCAATTAAGGCGGCCCGAACCTATTTATATGCGTGTTGGTTATGTTTTTGATTTGCGTTTTTCAGAGTGAAAGATTCAACCGAGCTTTATTGCAAGAAACAGAGTAATCAGAAGCTTACGGCGAATACAGTGAGCACTTTAAGAAGAACAATTTACTTTGTATTTGTCCCTCTCTTTTGGAAACGAATCTTAACAAAGCAAAATATAGCGTCCACGAAAAACTCTCAAGACTCAGCGTCGCAGGTTCCCGTTTTAAAGAGAAATAAGGCCACCAACTCCCGTACTTCTAAACATCCATTTTTCACTGAGCTGCAATGAAAACCCTTGTATTTGGTAATTTATTCACGCTTTTAAGGCTTACCATCACATTCGCACGGATAGTTTGCTGTTGGGGATAATGAGAAGAATAAGGCGATTGTCACATTTGTCTTCCTCTTTATTCCCAAGTGGTAAACTTCCCTTGCGAAGGAGTGGCAAGTCTAAAAAGCTTGAATAAATTACCAAATACAAGGGTTTTCATTGCAGCTGAAAAATGGATGGTTATTTGTTCTGGAGTTGGGGCCTTATTTTTCTTCAAAAGGGGAACCTCCGACGCTAAAAACTCTTGATATTTTTAAGTAGAGGCTATATTTTGCTTTGTTAAGATTTGTTTCCAAAAAAGAGGGACAAATACAACGTAAGTTTGATGAATAGAAGTTCTTTAATATTACGACGCACTCAGCATAAAGTTGTTCTTCTTGTAGTACTAACTATATTTGCGGTAGGTTTCTGGTTGCTCTGTTTCTTGCAATAAAGCTTCAGGTAGGAATATCCTTTCAGATAGGAGATAGTCTGTCAGCACTCTACCTCTATTCGTGCGTCAACTTTCACAAATGTGTTAGCGTAACATTTTAAGGTTCAATAAATTTTTGCAGCATTTTGTGCAGCGAATTCTACGGTCACGATTGCCTTCAAACTTGCAGATGTAAAACTAGAGAGCTCTGAGGCTTATTTGCTGAAGTTAGGGAAAAATCTGTCGTGGGAGTTCGAAGTTATTTACATTTTTCGTGAAAATGCGGTTTTAAAAATATGCCGATATCTCAAAGGTTTTTACATCTACAAGAAATAACATTTTCTTAAAGTTCCATCATTATTTATTTGGTATGCCAAAAATCATAGAAATCGGTTGAATCTTTCATTCTGAAAAAAGCAAATAAAAAACATAACCAACACACATATAAATAGGTTTGGGCCACCTTAAGTGGATACCATTAAGATTTTCGAAGATCATTTCGAATCATTTTTTATTGGCGCGGGGGAAAGGTGATCTGAAGACGGAGATAGTCCTATCTGTGGGCTTACCGACTCACAATTTTGTGTGGTTAAATTTCAGTTGTGGTAGTCATGACAATGTCTTTCAGGCAAAAAATTAGCACCACAAAATTAGATTAAACTTTATTGACAGCAACTTAATTTTTTTTCTGAGTTGGTCAGCCGAAAGAAAAAATACATTGGATTTTTCTGGATCCCGATAAGATTTTTAAGGTATATTTTTGTATTAAAATCATAGGTGACGAATTACTCCTTAATTTTGGCGCGAAATTTCAGCGTTAATTTGT